GAAATTAAAGGAACATTTGCTGAAATACTCCAAGACAATTTTGTATTTATTTTTCTTCACTCAGAGGCAAAGCTCATTATCACCACACATTAGATGTGAATTAGATGATTTATAAGCTTGTCTTGAGTAACCAGCAGTATGAAAGAGCACATGGAAGATGGGAGATCTACAGATAACTAAGAAAAGCTTAATAGGAACTGCAGATAACAGAGGGTAGGATAAGACACAACAAAGAAGGTATTTGCAAAGAAAGTGGTAAATCTTAAACCTTACTTGCCTGAAAAACATAGAAATATGGGGGGGGATGGGCTTTGAAGAGAGATAGAGATGGCACGGGTTCAAATTTTGGTTCTGCTTCCTGCTAAATGTGAGTGCTTGGGCAAAATTACTTGACCTGCCCAACCCTCAGTTTCTTAGTCTGTAAAATGGGTATAATAAATCTCTAGTTCACGGTCCTGGTATGAGAATTGGTCTGTAAAGTGACACGTGGTAGGAAGTTTACCATAAACTGTAATTATTAGCGTATCTGGAAAAGATTTACTATTGACTTAAAAGTCATATTGTTTTTTTCAATATGAAGTAAAGATGTCAGAGTTTTTCATCTAAAATTTCCTCAGAGATTTCTTTTCCTAATTCATCTACCACATTGGCAGAAATAGCATTGTAAGCTTAACTTGGCTAAGTCTGCTTCATTCATCTGTCAACAAGATTCTGGACTTCAAATTGAGTTGACAATTGCTGAAGGTAGATGGGACATAACAGGCTGCACAAGAGCATCGTATTTCACACCTCAGAGGGTTCTATGCTACCAACAATAACATCATATCTCTGTCAGTCAAGCACAATTATACAGCTTGATAGACTGATACAAATAAAAAGCCAGTTAAAACGGGTCTCCTGACTCTTTTCTGGCAACAGTTATAGGACTCGTTTGAATCTGCTACCTATGAATATTAGAATACCATCTCCTTTGGGGACAAAGGACAGAGAAACCACATCCCCTACTGATTCTAAAAAGGGTCCAAAATAGTGCAAAGTTTGCTACATTTGAAAACTTGAAGTCACTTTGTAAATTTAATCTTACTTTTTGCTTCTTATTGAAATATGAATGTATTTTTAAGACATCCAAAATAGAAGGTACAATTTCATGCCATAGGCAATCAGGTAACACAACGGTCAGGCAAATCATTCTAGCAAACATATTCGTGATATCTGAGCTCGGCGATCAAAGCACTTTCATGGATTCCTTTAGAGCACTGTTTTAATACATGTTACCTTTATGAAAAAGAAAATAGAAAAAAGTACCTGATATTCATGTAAAAGTAAATTATGTTATCATAAAATTACTCCATTGTAGCCTTTTATAGTAGGGACTCCTATGGTAAAGATATCTTTTTGTCAAAATGGGTAACTGAGTTACAAGCTGAAGAGATTCTTCCTAAAGGGTAAATTGATATGTGGGATCTAATTTAAGTTGTATTTCAAGCTTTAAATTATAAATGATCTCAATATGCAAGACATAGAAACTGACAGAGAAAAAACACTTTAGCCACACATAATTCTAGTGTAATGCATCCAAGTTTTCCAAAATACATCAAATGAAGATGTAAATGTAAGGTTGCTAAATTAAATTTTATCATTATGTTTTTTTTTTTTAATTTACTTCAGGGTATTATTTCAGAAGGGCAATGAAAAAGGTGACTCTTAGTGGCAAAAGAGATCTGTTACTGTCCCTCAGGTCAATCAATCTTTTATTTGTTTGTTTCATAAGTGCGTGAATGCTGTTTTTTACACTACTGAGCACATTTCACAACAAGTGAAAATGAATGACAAGAAAATACACACCAGGACACCAGGTTACACTTCATAATCTTTCTGTACATGCGAAGCCATGGGACCACGGAAGCTCATGGCTAGAAGGAGCTGGAGGAATTTACTTTTGCCAAGGATTCTGGCACAGACTCTGTGCCATGGATTGCTCACCAAAAGCAAGACCATGGAACTTCTCAGACTACCTTTGTGCTTTACACTGAATTTACAGGATGGAGGCAAGGGCAACTGCCATTAAAATGGCAGCATAAGCTTTGATATTTCATCCAATTTCTTATTTATGAAGATAGTTAAATATACTTTTTTAAAATACAAAATTAGAAAAATAAAATTTCTCTAAAAATAAAATTACAGAAACTTAAGATTTCAGTTCATGGAAAAGAAATGGAAGGGGAAAATACACATAAAATTAAATGATGCTAAAACCTGGATGAGTATGGTCACTTCAAATTATAATTGTCAATAATTAGATATTATACCTCAATAAATGTATCATTGGTAAACCTATTTAATCATAATAATGCCACCGCTCATTTATTTTTATTCAGATGCAAGAAATATAATGGAAATATTTTATAACTCTAAAGTTAAATTTGATAAAAGGCAAATACTTCTTGAAAATCATATATAAGGGTTTAGAAATTAAAGGCTCAAGAGGATTTCATTGTAAGATATTTCACCCATAAGGGTTCCCATGATATGGGGTCCCAAGTACTATAAGACTCCATTGTATTAGAAAAGGTAACATGATCAATACATATTTTTCCTCTTTTTCACAATCAATGGTTCTTCATCTTTCCAAATGTGAGTGACTTCAATTATTTTTTAGTCAGTATTATTAAACTCATTTTTATTAAGTTATTTATTTATTATTAAATTATTAAAAATTATTAAATTATAAACTCAATTATTATTAAAACTCATAATTATACCTCATTTCTTGGATTTGATGCAGTTTGCTAAACACATTATAACTTCTTCAAAACGTTGTCGAGATGGGACAGTATGAATGCTCATTTTATAGATTAGCTGCTTTACATTTTTTAGACATGTTTTTATTATATATAATTACTTATATCAAGGAATATGATTTGACCATAGCCTGACAAACCTGTGTGACAATGATCCATGTTGTAACACATTCATAAATCATAAGGGATAGAGATAGTGTGGTAAGTGGAAAGGGTTTAAAATCAGACACATCTAAATAATTCCAACTTTGTAAACCCTCTCTAGAGGTGCAACTATTGATAATTAACCTCTATGAGTCTTTTCCTCACTGAGCAATGGGAATGTTAACACTAGGATTTATGTGAGACAAAATGAAAGTATGTGTGTGAAGTGCCTAGAATATTACTTGCCGTACAGACATATGTCATTATATTACATTTCACATTATTGGGCTTCACAGCTATCGTGGGTTTTTTTTCATTACAAATTGAATGTTTGTGGCAATCCTGCATCAAGCAAGTCCATAGGAACCACTTGTCTAACACACCATTTGCTCACTTTGTGTCTCTGTGTCACATTTTGGTAATTCTCACAATATTTCAAACTTTTTCATTATTATTATATCTGTTATGGATCTGTGATCAGTGATTATGACTCACTGAAATCTCAGATGATGGTTAGCATTTTTAGCAATAATGTATTTTTTAATTAAGGCATGTACCTTTTGTTTTGTTTTATTTTGTTTTTGGAGATAACACATTTACACACTTAAGAGACTACAGTATAATGTAAACATAACTTTTATAAGCATTGTGTTATTCGCTTTATTGCAGTAGTCTGGAACCGAACCCATAATATCTCCCAGGTATGCCTGTACTCAGGGCTTAAACATATTAGTTCTATTTTCTTTTTATAGAATAAGAAAGGAAAGAACAATTAAATCTTTAGTGGAGAACCTGGACTAATAGATGGCCCCAAGAAAGGAGGGGCTGTGTGGCTGCTGAAACTTCTGAAGGACCAAAGAGGAAATACTAGAACCCGGACTGTCACCATATGGCAGAAGCAAGATTTAACTACCTCTTGGCATGTCTAATACTTACACCCACCAACAAAAGCCTGGAACACTCTATACTGGCTGTAATTTCCAGAGTTTCCTCTGGATAGTAATGGCTTGCTTCTAGTTTTAAAGACAGAGGCTTACATATGAAGCCAAAGAATAAGGCTCCTAGACCTGGGCCATGCCATCTGCCTAGCATTAAGCCGGAGCTGAAAGTCAGTTACAGAAGCAAAGTCACTTCCAACATGATTTATGTTCCACCCTTGAACGTGGCAGGAAGACTGCAAAAGATATTTGGAAGCCAATGCTTCCTCTGAATAAAGTAAACGAGTATATGCTAAGCCCCTCTCCCCAGACCATGCTGGCCTGTTAGATAAGTTGCCAATGTGGAGTGTTTGAACCCTGGAGCAAACTGGCTATTCGGGATGAGAAAATATCTCAATGTCAATGATCATTGCTACCGTAAACGTACAGTGGACAATGCAAACACTGGAGTCAGACAACAGATATCCAGGATATTATTACTCAAAAACACATCTAGCTCAAAGCTGACAAGATAATCTGTTCCTGTGAGTGCAAAGCAGGCTGGAATGCTGCAGCTCTGACCTACTCAAGGAAAGAAAAAAGAAAGTGCAACTCTCCAAGGGCTCCATCTCATGTTCTTTATGCAGGCAAACTCCAACGGACTTCAAAGGGAGCGTTGCCTAAGGAGGGAGTACCGGACCAAGCCCATGGGGGGTATCATTTCCATGATCATGTTGCCATCTACATTTGGTGGACTGGCAAATGCAAATATTTCAGATACAAGTTTAAACAGATGAAAAAAGAAGTGCGAAATAGCTTGGGGATTTGCTTGCAAGAGAAACCTCAGAATTCCAGGAAAAGATTTAATATCAGGAGCTTCGTAAGTTATTCCAAAAGTCCCAGGAGAGTGGTTCATGATAGTATTAAAAATAAAGTTTTTTTTTAATTGACACGTTTTGCACTTCAACATATCCAAAATAGTGTACCAGAAAAATAATTTCCCAACGTTAAATACTCTTCAAAGGTCAGTAACATTTTTCTAATTGAAATATAGACTATATTTTGATGCCTTAACAAAGTTTTAACATACGTGATCCCAGTTAAGGTACAAGAGCCCAAATGCAACAAAAATACTTACGGGAGGACCTGTGGGGTTGGGGTGGGGTGGAGAGAATAAGAGAAAGGGGGAGATGAATTAGTGAAGATGCAAAATATTAAGATTAAATATAAGATGAAAGCATTGTCATAATCATCAGCAAAATACAAGATGATGAAGTCATCTAGAATTCAATGAATCCTAATCTTTTTTTTTGGTTCATGGACAACTTTGATACCATATCAGAAAAGTGCATTTACATCTATCTGCACACAAAATTTTACATAAAATTTTGGAAAATGTTCAGATTCCCTGAGGCCTGTCTATGAATTACTGAGAGGTTCATCTTAAGATGGCCTATTTATACTTAAAAATTTAGATAAAATATGAATCAGGAGGATCTTTGGTCGTTTATGATAGCCCAGTTAGACAGAATTGACATATAACTTTCTTGAGTTTCGTAAAATGGTTAAATGAGAAATGTACCCATTATTTGTTCTAAGAATGTTTTTTCATTCAGTAGCATTGTCAATATATAAAAGACTAAACCCTGATATTTATATTTCTTTAAAACTTTGTATTCTCATCAAAACACAGGAAAAGTCTAGAAAATTTCAATATATCCACACTGTACACTCAATTAAAACACAAGTTTTTAGTAGCTAATAAGTTAGGAACTGACTTTTTAATTTTTCTATAAAACTGCACATCAGTACAAAATTTTTACTTTTTTTCCCTCAATCCTTTGTATTTCTTTTGACAAAGATCAATTCACTGATTATTTGATCCCACTAATGTTTCATTATTTCATATTCCTTAAAACACATTTATAAACCATCCTCTAATATAAAACTTTGTAAGGTGAAAGGGATACTTATAGAAGTATCCAATTACTTAGATTAAATGAGGTTTAAGGATAACTTTTAAGAACACTCTTAAAGGAATTAAGCAAGTATACTGCCCAAATTACCGAATTTTCATAAATTCCTTTTACTTCGACATCTTTTTTTTTTTGAAAAAGGAAATGAGACAAAAAAGCAAAAACACAACAAATCAATCTGCTGCTCTTTTTGGTAGGTTAGTATTTCTACTACTTCAACACTTAGAAATTGGTTGTTTTTAACACTGATAAATACTTATTAAAAAATACTGGAAAAGAGCATTTCTTAGTACACTAGAATGAAATCTTAAATTACCTTTCAAAGTGAAGAAAAAAACTCAAATAAAAAAAATTTTTTTGAAACCAAATATCCAAATGAGTGTGTGCACTTACTGTCTTGCTTGTTTTATAAAGTCTAAGACTCCAAAAATGTAAATGACCATGTGAAGTCTTATCAGGCCATCAGTTCTTCCTTGCAAGGTAAGAGGAAGATACATATAGAGATTCGGCCTGAAAGCAAAAACTCACTGAAGTGGGCATCAGGACAATTGGTCCTGTTTCAAATTCTGCTCATAAAATATTGCGTAGCCTTGGCCGAATCACCTGACTGCTCTGGGGCCTCCATTTCCTCAACTACAAAATGAAAATGCTGGATTGATTACTCAGGCTGCTGTCACCACTAAAATTCTAGGGTTATACAAGAGGAATAAAAATTCCAAATTTTGAAATGAATGAGAGTAAAAGCATGACAAAATTGTACCAGTTGGATAAAATAACAATAAAGGTTCCAAGACATGTGCCCCAGTGTCCCAAAGCAGATGTTTTCATAAAGATCCTGCATTTGCTATCTGTGGAGACAGAAGCACGGCTGTATCGCCCCACTGCGCGCAGCTAGGAAACCCTCCACTGCACGCAGAAAGGACAAACTTAACCTGACACAGTAAGTAACCCAAAATTGGGTGCCAGTGGTTATCAAACATAACAAATCAACAGTATTTTCCAAACTCCTACCTACAGTTTGATGGAAATAAGAAGATTAAAAAAAATTCTAGGTCTAGCAGAGGCAACTTAAACACACAAGCTTACGCGCAACCTCCAGCAAGACAATATAATCATTAATTAGGAGGAACAGATGCAGGAATCTAACCAAAACATTAATGACAAGGAGCAGCTGAAAGAGAGACTTACCAGATTCTCCTCTTCGGCCCCTCTTACCTCGTTTCCCTGGAGGGCCTAAAATACAAAGAATAATTTTTTAAACATGGTTTAATATTTTGTTTCCTGTTCCAAAATGGCTAGTAAATAATTTCTACGTATTTTATCACTGTTTTTAACAACTTCAGGAAAGGGACCAGATATTTGTAAAGGCCAGCATTATCCTACCAGCATAACTCTTAAGCCTCATTTAATTATAAAACCTACGCCAAATGTCTAATCATCTAGCATTACTTAAGAATGCTAAACATTTAGAATTTTTATTCATCCTGCCTGGATAACATCAATAAAGAAAGACTTTAATTGCAAATTGGTGGTGTTGAGATTTCATGTTTCTTAGGAAAATTTTTTTCTAAATGTTGCAGTATATTAATAATTAAAAGCACTAAGTACAAATGACTATAGTTTCTCTTCAGTCAGCCATTGTGATGCCCTTAAAAATATTTAGTTGGCAATTAATTAAATGTACATATTCACAATGGAAATAATCCTTACAATATTTCTATTTTATCAAATATGAATTTTCATATATTGGAATTTCTCTAATTGAGAACCAGCTGAGTTAAAATCATACTCTTTTAATTGGAAAGTGCTTAGGTACTAACAATAGGTCTCATTTTTCTAGGGAGCTGGCTCATTATTGTCAGTCAGTAAATATTTAATCTTTATGATGATCCCACTTTGAAAGTGGAAGAAAAAACTTTTTTTTCCCAGTGAACTGCCTATAAAGACCACCAAGCTAGTATGTATCAGACTTAACACAGGATTCTAGACATTCATGGCTTTCAAGCCATTATTCTCAATTTTATAATTTCTGCCCTCATTTCTTTGAGTAGGAATAGTTCCCACTGAATTATGGTTCAGGCAAATAGAAGAGCATAATTAGCCCACAATGAGAATTAAGGTCTTATAACATTTGCTGGAAGAAAGAGGCCAAGGAAAACGCAGACCCTCCTGGCTTTAAAGAATGAGCTTCTAAGTTGGACTGATGACTTCCAAACTCTAGAAAGTTCAAGACACAAGCAGCACAGGCCTTAGCAGCCAGCCGGGTCTCGACATGATCCTGAGCTACCAACTTCCACATGGAAACACTATCATGAGAATAGAAACATCAGTGGGCCAGTTAGTTTCCCCTCAAGCCTTTACACAGAATAAGTGTGGCCATCTGTGTTTTATAAGAGATTAAAAACAATCAAGCAATAAAATTGACTGAAAATGTTAGGAGAAGAATTTTTGCAGCAGAGTCCAAAATTGTCATTCAAAATTTCAGATTTCTCTCTGTATTCTGGAATAAAGATAAATTTCCTTCTTTCTTTCTTTCT